TTTCTTTTCTCTTTTCTTTTCTTTTTTTTTTTTTTTTTTTTAGATTTTCCACTTGAATCGACAGTGAGGTGCATGCCAGTCTACTACGGACCTGCTGTCCGTGTTCAACGAGAACTACGAGACAAATTGGACCATCTGGCGCGCCAAGAACGTTGTTACTCTCAATATGAAACCATAGAAATCATAGGCAACACCCGTAGCAGCCCAGCAGACAAAGATTCCTTTGAGTCTGCACACTGTCAACACACACAACTATGCCCCCTGGCCCTAGCCGTGGCGACGCTATCGAAAATAGGTCTGACTTTTTCAACCAATCCCGACACCGCGGAGCTCGATACGGATATGATCATCCAGACCTTTATCACACAGGGGAATTGTACTCCATAGGATGGGGCATCTCAGATACGTGGTCCCCTCTAATGGCAACTGCGTCATGGGCGAAGAGCCGTGGCCTGTCCGGTTGGGGACCCCTCTGGAGGCTCCATCGGACCATCGGCATCGTAGTGGGGTCGTATCGTTTCATGATATGTTATTTTGGTTTAACGGATTCGGACAGGACTTTCCAGGATAGAGGGATGGACCATGAGGCATGTTTCAATGCCCTATCGATGCTGACGATATCTGTTCTATGTGCAGACCATTCTCCGTCATGGACCGGTATTAGTCTCCGACTGGGGGCATGTCGAATTGTATTGCCACTGGATAACAACAGATTCTCTGTTGATGTGTCCTCTTATCAGGGGGCGCAGCAGTGGGGATCGAGTGGCGGTGACTGTGTTTCTGGTCCGGGGACCCATCTTTTTCCGACAAGATTTCCCCCCTTTTGGATTGAATGTGGCGTCATATCCTATACATAGTGTAGACTTCTGGCGATGATCCACGATGACTGGACCCCTCAATTCTGAGACTGGGCTGGAGGAGGGCTTCTCATGTGGTGTCCCCTGACGATTATCCGGTGGTCTCAACCGAGATACGCACCGAAGGAGGTAAACAAACTGTATCGAGTAGGGTTCCCTTTGGGTCCACGCCGTCAGTGGCGCGAGACCATTAAGGAATGGGTGGCCTCGTATAAACCAATAGCTGCCGCAAAAGCCGAAACACCAGTGGGACTTGGGCACGACTGGTCCAATGGAATGTCGAGAGCATCGCCGAGACCGGCTGACAAAGCTTAGCGAAGCTTAGCTTCTGCAGTGGGGTTTCCAGAAGTAGTCTTACTAGTCTTACGAATGATCCAAATAGTACTAGGATTAATCTCTCATAACAGTAACCCCCTAGAGGGGGGCAGGCCATGTCTTACCGTCATTTATAAACCCCTCCTCAACCCCTCCCCCTCTTCCCCCTTTTCTGATTCATCTCATCACAATCTCTCTCCCTCTTCCATAACTACATCATCACACATTCTTCATTCGCCATGGGTTGGTTCGGTATGGCTCCCTGGTCCTCGCTTTCTTGATCATATTCTCCCTTGCCCGTACTGACCAAATCCCACAGATAACGACAGTGAGCAGGCTCGCCACTATGAGCAGTTCAATAACTACGACGGTAGTGAGGAGCACCAGTCCAAGTTCAGCCATGAACTCATTGCCGGTGCCGCTTCCTTCGAGGCCATGAAGGCCTACAATGACCACTGTGAAAAGAACGGTATGTTGAATTCTTTCCTTTCTCTCCCGCTCTCCACATCGATTCCCGAACCTCTACTAACACAAGATCGAAATAGGCAAGCCCCAGAACCACGAGACCGCTAAGGAGCTCCTGGCCGGTTTCGCCGGTGCCTTCATCGACCGCGAGGTCGAGACCAAGGGTCTTGACTTCGTTGACCGCGAGAAGGCCAAGTACCACGCCCGCCAGCAGCTCGACGAGGCCTCTTCTGGTGACTTCTACTAAGCGCCTTCGCGGGATCCAGCTATGATTCCAATGATTTTGTCCTAGCTCAGTCGATATATATACCAATTTGAATACCAATATACCACGTGCCATCTGTTTCTACTCCCATACCATCCCAACAAGAGGTGTAAGAAAACGGGAAAGGACCTAGATGAAATGCACCTCATCCTTATGAATGCCCCCATTCTGGACCAACTCGTCCAACCGGTCCTTCGTCCGCTGCGCCACGGCCCGGGCATACTCTGGACCCACCGGAAGCGACGACGGCGTTTTCTGCGGATCGACCTTCAGCCAGGCGACCGGTCTGGCATCCGGCCCCTGACTGGCCGCGCGGATCTCGTCTAAATCGGTGTTGGTATATCCGCCGCCCATAATGATCGCCGCGGGGGATTTCCCATTTTCTGTAGATGTAGTTGAATTCGCCTGACGCAGTAATACAGGAATCTCATTCTTCGCCGTCGACGGCGAGAGGAAGAGATGCGTTACTACATGATGGACTCTGTTAATGGTAGAAAGATGCAGGATACCATACTCATTTACACAACCTCAATATAACAAACGAAGGATAGAAGATGGGAAATACCTTCGTATTCAGGATGCAATGCCTCCCTCACGAGATCCCCGACCTGACTCGTCTTTCCGCAGACGATGACTGGCACTGCAGTCGGTAGTTTTCCGGCGGTGCTAGTAAAGAGTCGGGCTGTTGCGGGGATTGTTCTGGGGAGCATTGTATAGGCGTGTGGTTTGATGACTTGAAGTTGTGAGTTTGTTGAATCGACTTCGTACTAATGATCGTGTGGATGGGGAGATGGCTATTTACAAATACTATTCCTTCTTTGTAGTCCGGCTGTTAGATATGATATGTGAAGAGAAGAGAAAAGGAGAATTGGGGAGTTTTACGATCTGTATTTATGCTGATGTTGTCAGCGGCTGTGATTATCAATACGAGGATTATAGTTAGCTAACTAGTTGTGTACGAGGCGGGGGAGATTTATTCACCGCCTTGTTGGATTTGAATAAATCCATCTGGTCTGGATATAAATTATAAAGTAGCGGTTCAAAAACTTGATTACATGTTTACACTCCGAATGTTTTTGGAAATCTGTACCGGCGATATACTAAATAGCTGCCATCCAGATTCAGAATAATGCGACCTTTTGGCTCTAGTTGGGAGTAGAGCGAGTGGTACGGGTTCCCCGCGGTACCCGACCCGAACCCGACGGCCCTGACTGTATCTCGGTGATTAGATAAAGTGATAAACTTGTATATATTTCTCAACCCGAGCGACGGGATAACATGCGCTTCCCCACACGAGCAAATGTACATAGGCCTCATCTCACCCAAATATAGACGATTCAACGGCCCCTATCAATTTGTGCATACAACCATACCACAACAACGCACAACACACCTAGCTTGCTATCCCAACATCTAAGCAGTTAAAAGTCTATTGACTCTTTACCCACCAAATCTTTTCCCTCAGCCTCGCCATCATATCATCCGCCTCGATCCCCAGCTTCCACACTAATCCATCTGCACCAACCCGAAACTCTGCTCTCATAGTCCACGTCATCTCACTGATACTATATCCGAAGATCCAGTGGTCGCCCGAGAAGTGTATGAGTTCGTTCAAGAACGACGGTGGTAAATCGATACTATTGACCACAGAGCAACACAATCGTAGTGTCTCCTTGCTGTTGGTTAAAGGTGGGAGAATTGGTTTGTGGGGGCAGTCTGTGGTGATATTGAGGGTTGGATAGGCCGGGTGGGTGTATATTCCAGTTAGGTTAGAGAGGGGAAGAGGGGGGGAGAGGGCTGTATCGGGGATTTTTGGATAGAGGGTTTCGGGGGGTGGAAATATGGTGAGGTTTAAGGTACCGTCGGCTCTAGGACTCCTGTTAGTAGGTATCTAACATAGAAGGGCAGTCGTGGGTGGAGCAGGAAATACACGCACAATTCTTTCCAATTGAACCGATCCTCATCCGGGATTTCCAAAATCTCGTCGATAATATGATAGGCCAAGAGCAATGAAACGACACCTATCGGAGCCTGATTATTCCCGAAGATAGTAACTCCGAGCTGTAGGTCGGGCAGGAACAGCGCCAGGGCTCCGAAGCCCCATATTGCACCGCTGTGCTGGACCACGGCATGTCCCTTATATGATTGCAGGTTCCACCCGAATCCATACAGAGTTGGTGCCGAATATGGGGTTAGTACTTGCGGAAGGACGATGCTATGGGCGCCTGTAACTGCGGCATGTCCGGCTGGTGAGAGTGGGGCTCGACGATGGATCATCGCTCGCAGCCATTTTGCGTAGTCAGTCGCAGAGGAAAGGATGTTTCCTGCCCCGCGGATATTATCTGGCGAAGGGTTACCTGCGTTCTTAAATTGATTTTCGGAGCTCCAGTAGTATCCTTGGGCTATATCTTCGCCTGCGGCTTGGGCATCAACTGGGGAGAGATAGGTCTCTGTCATATTTAAGGGTTCCCAGATTCGGCTGCGGAGAAAATCTTTCAGTGATTGGCCTGTTCGTTTCTCGACTAGAAGCCCAGCTGTTATGAACATTAGATTATTATATTGCCATTTTGTGCGGATTGGCGCTGTTAAGGGTACATGGCGGAGTTTAGATACAGCTTCTTGAGAAGTAATATTTGCATTCCAAATCCAGTCGTGACGCGGCAAGCCGGAGCGATGGGATAGGATATCTTCAATTGTGACTTGCGCGGTAGCCCACGGGTTCTCAAGGATAAATTCTGGCAGGATATTATGTACGGGTGTATCCCATTGGATGTCGGGGAAGTTTTCGTTGTCATCTACAAGTAGGGAGACTGCTGCCGCAGTAAACGCTTTGGATGTGCTGCCTCCTTCAAATAAAGTATGCTCTGTGACTGGTTTAAAAACGCCTCCGGATATATCGGAGGTTCCATAGCCCTAGATTGACGTGTGAGAAGGAGTTCCTATCGACATCACTTCAGGGCCTCACCTTGGCGAAGATATCATCACCGCGAACCACAGATACAGCAATACCAGGGATATTGTACCGTTCAAGGGCCCAGTTGACCTTGTTTTCAAATGTCTTGTTCAGGGGAGATGAACTATGGTCGTCACCCAACGGGATTTGCTGGGCGATACAACTTGGGAGCCCCCCGGACAATAGCAGAGCAGTAAGCCAATACATAGAGAAAGTCTGGGACTGCACTCTATGGCTTAATGATTTATCTGTTCTTGTATTCAAGGAAAAAAAGGGTAGGAACCCGGAAAGTTGAAACATACACGTAAATATTTAATATGAACGTAGCCTGTAAGCGGGGTAAACCAGGACAAACGAGACATATCAGTTCAAGTTCTTTGCACTGCTGCCTGCTCAGACCCTTCGATATGGGGTAACCATGACTCGACCGCGGCTCAGCTAGGGCGACGCTAACTCACGAAGCAATGGAAGGTAAGCATTCCGAATCAGGCGATCTCACCTTCCAAGGCAAGGATAGCTAAGAGAGGATCATCTTTCAGATGAAAAGAACCCCTTTTATTTCGGATGTGGCGCTCGAACCTCTTTTGACGATGTTACATGGCTGGTAACACCCCATTTTCGTCGTCGCAAACGGGTTCGTTCAATGGTGAATGCAGAGGCGAGGGCAGAGGCGAGGGCGGGGTATAATCTGGTCGAAGGGAGCAGTGCGGCAGAGCATTACCCCTGATACTAGTAGTCAGCGAATAGCGGAACCGCACAACATGCAAGGATGACTTATCTGACGTCACGGTCTATGATGAACCATACGGATCAATACGTTATAAAACAATTTGTTGCTACTGGACATTCTCAGTTCGATTACGATCACTCACGGCGAATCTCATGCCATCCAATCCAACATAGTTTGCAGGGCTCTTTCCAACGATATGAAAAGGTGTCATCTCATTATGGCTCTGACCAATGTGTTACAGGAGTCTTGGCGGAATCTACACACATACTGCGCGACTGCGTCAGCACCTGCATCGCGCCGATTCCAGTCATCCTCTAATGAGTTCGAGATTGGACATGAAACAAAACACTGTATCAGATGGAACTGGAGAGGATACATGTCGTCCTTCAAGGGTGATCTATCCTCGTCCTCTTCCTTGACTGCGGTACCGGGCAACTGCGCTTCAATATCCACAAATGCTTGCTCCTCATATAAATCCTCACGAACCTTATGCCGCAGGTCTCTCAACAGCCGTGCTTGCGTGTTCTTCACCTCTTTCTCTAGTCGCTCAATGCGGGGAAGCAGACCAGGTTTCTGAGTCTCCTCGTACTGGCCACGCGCCTTGCTTACAGCGGGCCTCCTCAACTTTGGATGACCCTCAATCCGTGTCCTGCTCATCGGTTAGATACCGTTGATGATGCTAACCTGCTGTCTTCTCACTCGGTGGAAGTTAAGTTACCACCGACGAAAGGCATGAAGCCATCTACCAGCACGATTATGCCGGCATGAGCGATCAAGTGGCTGGTCATGCATGCTCGGACGCTTCACCCAGACCACTAAGCGTGCCACGTACACGTCGCAGATGCGGTAATAGACCTGCGAAGACCGATTCACTCCGTGTTTTCGGTGTCGCACAGCAACGTAGACGAAGCAGCCGCAGAACGGCCAACCCGAACAGCTGGGGCAGATCTTCAGCGAGTACAACTCTCTCCAGAGGACCAGTTAAACCGACCCAGAAGAGGGAAAGAGCTGCCCGGGCGTTTCAAACCACCCGCAAAGCTACCCGTAGCGATAATTACACCTTCGCAGCTCTCCGCTCACTGTTTTTGTCCTCGTCTTTCGAGGTCTGTCTGTAAATTATGTCGTTTCTGTTTGAAACGGCGCTAGATTGCTGCATGCATAACTCTGAATCTGGCTCCAAAATTAGTACTGCTACTACGCCTGAGGTGGTCGATACAAGCGATAAGAAAGAATAGGAGGTGGAGGAGATTGTGGCTTTGTACGTGTTCCGTGGAAAGCTCCAGGACTAGGTGCAATTAAAAGGCTGTGAATCTAACACGTCCTGGTATACGCGTATGGGCTCAAGGGTGCTTTATACAAGATGAAAACCTTCTATAAAAGGTTCCCAGACCAACCTGGACCTCCAAAACGGCTGAAGGAATAGATACAAAGCTGGGAGCCAGGATGCGATATCCAGGATGGCCCCGATGATGATTTACCCACATAACATATGCTATTTAGTTACCACAAAATACCCGCAATGCCAATATCCCCGGCAGTCCGTCGAAGAAGATACGGGATCAGACATTGACACTGATTAATTGCAGATTCTCTGTTCTATTGAAGACATCTAATTTTTTTTCAAGCGAATAATCAGCCTTTGATGTTTATTATATTTTCCCGTGACAGTGCTCTTGTTTCTACCTTCATTAACTAGAGAAGTTCTGTTTAATATGTGCTCGTCGTATTGAGAAACATGTTATAGCAGTAATATTAGTCTTTCCAGCACTCATAAAGGCATAGGGACTAACATAGTGGCCCCAGGGAACAACTAGAGTTCCCCAAAGCCAAGTACTGGGTTTCGGGAGCTCAAGTGTACCTAGGAGCGCATGACAGTGCTTCTGGGAGCAATTTCTGTAGTCTCCAGCTTCTCTGGTTGTATGAGCATTCCCACCTGCTCGGCTCCCCCTGGAACAGAGCATATTATCGGGCTTGGATACCTAGGTCGGGTTAGCAGATCACTGGAAGCGTATTTACTCTCAAGGATATGTATAAGCTCCCAGATACAGACATCTTGTCGCCTGAGGCTAGAGCAATACCACCAGGCTTTCCAGGATCAGATCAGCAGTGGGATCGCGGTTTCCGGCCGCCCAATACCGATATAGCTGTTGGGCACGGACAGGCCATGGCTCTTCCGCCCATCACGCAGTTGCAATTAGAAGGGACCACGTATCAGAGATGGCCCATCCTACGGAGTATAATTACTCTGTATGAGAAAGGTCTCGACGATCATATCTATATTGAGCTCCGCGGTGTCGGGGTTGCCTGAAGAAAACAGATCTGTTTGGATAGCGTCACCACAGCTGATGCCAGGGGCCATTGTGGCGTGGGTTGGCAGGGTGTGCACACTGTCAGAGGCATCCTTGTCTGCCGGAGCTGCTGGGCATTCCGAGAGTGCTATGATCGCTCTTGAGAGAAACATCCATCCGCGGATAGCAATGTTCTTGGCGCACTGGACGGCCCAATTTATCTTGGTTCTCGTTAATCACAAATAGAAAGGCCCGTAGACTGACTGGCATGCGCCTGACTGTCTATTTAAAATAGAAAAAGCGAAAAAAAAACATACAACAGGAGGGATTCGCTGGTGGTCACCCACCCAACTACTAACCTCCCGGCGTGTGGCTTAAGTACGGCTGAGCGGACGGGAAGCCCTGTTCTCCACACCCTATGGTCGTATGTGGTAATCTTGATTTGGATTGAGATATTTGAAACTTATTCATGCCTGAGTCTACCAACATGCTTGTGGGAGAAGAAACCACTTGGGAATAACAGCGACAGGTCGATTTACCCTCACTCGACAGATATGGTTACAGTTGGGAATACAATTATATATACGGTTCGATGGATGATTGGTTCCAACCCAAATTCATCATGCTAGTGGTTTTTCCTTTGTGATATTACAGTGGAGTTTTGACTACAATTGTGTTTATACCACGTAACTGATTGACTGCTTGCTCAGCAGTCAATTATAAGCCTTTTTGCTGGAGTGGTTATGCGGCTCCACACTAGGAATTACAACAGAATATGTACTATTAGATTCAATAGTTATTTGGTAATATATATGGCCATTATTATATATCTATTGGCTTAACCAATCCTATATAATCCCGGAAGAACCCTATACATCGCCCTCTGTCCTTCAAGCCAATCGCCCGAGTATAATGTTCAACACCATCACACCAAGCCGAATAAAACTTGAATATAAATCTCTTTGATTCCTCAACTTCAGCTGCCACATTATCGAACATATTTAGCACGAAGTGCTGCAATAGTGACTGGCATCACCTCACCAAGCGTTCCGACATTCGCAAGATCTTTGGCTGACAATTGTACATTGAAATATCGTCGGTGCCAGCTGCGAATCTCAAATATCATCAGCGAGTCGATCGGGGTCTGCATGATTTGCTGGTTGTCTTGATCCTTTCCAAACCCCGATAGTGCCCGTATTGCGTCGAGTATTTCCCTTGTAACTTGATCTATCCAGTAAGGGTCATCCAATATCTCCGGGCTGTTCTCTATGATCGCCAGTGTTTTCGTCACCTTCTCTATTGCATCCGAATTGAGCTGTCTCGTGGTATGGGTCTCAAAATTGGCATAGGCACTGAATCGTGCCTCCTTCCCCCACAGCTGGCGAACCGTGGGATCTGAGCGATGCCTCATATTGCTCATGCCCACTGTATTTTCATCTGATATAAGAACTCGCCCCGTGGAGTTTTCCGTGAAGCTCTGCCGAGTAATCGCAACTTCTAGGGCATCAAGTACATTCTGTTCACTGAGAAGACTGACTGACGCTGCGCGCAGCCCCTCTCTCAATCTAGGATTGTCTGTCGCAAGGTAGCCAATTTCATCGACGCACCCGAGGTTGACGACAGATGCAGGGAGGCCCCGGGCCCGTCGATACTGCACGAATGAATTCAAAAATGTATTTGCAGCAGAGTAGCTAGCCTGGCCTTGGTGCCCCATGACTCCTGCGACTGAGCCGAAAGCAACAAAAAACTTCAGCGCTTTCCCAGTGAGAACTTTATGGAGATTCCAAGTTCCTTCCACCTTCGGCGCTAGGGTTGCTTCCCAGTTCTCATATGTTACAGCGGGAAAAAATTGATCCTAATTGTAAAGGACTTGCTTAGTAACGGCGACAGGGAAGGGAAAGGGAAGGTTTTCTTACTCTTAACACCATGGAAAGTTGAAGCACGCCACATATTGGCTTCGGACTGGCCGCAACCGCCCGCTTGACATCGTCAAGAATTGCTACATTACCCTTCACAGGAATTGCCGAGCAGCCTTGTACGTAAAGCTCATGGAAAAATGCTTGATCCATGTCGGACTCACCAGCGGATCGAGAAAGAAAGATTAGGTGCCGCGCGCCTTTTTCTACCATCCAGGTGGCAATGGCCCGACCAATCCCTCCCAGACCCCCAACGAGAAGATACGATGCGTCTGGGGAGAGAGAAAATTGTTGGCGAGTCCTCCTTGGCACAAATTCCACGGGATTGTGGGTCATTTTCACTGCGATCTTTCCCATATGTAAACCTTGTTGCATGTCTCTAAACGCTTCTTCGACTTCCGTGGGCACCACGATTTTCAATGGGCGTATTGGATGAATCTTCCCTTGCTCAAAAAGTTCAAGGCTTTTATGGAAGAGTCTTGGCAAGATTAGTTAGAAAATGCAAAATTGAATTCCACTGCGTGCAATACGAACCTGCGAGTAAACCCTGGTTTGTGACCCAGCTCCATAAGGTCTATGCCGAAAAACGTCCGGTTGCCGCTAAAGACATCCATGCTCAGCATGCCACGGCCTATAAAATCCATTTTACCAATCTCGAGCATTTTGCCGAATTTCGCTACACATCTCCATGAGGCATGGAGGAGCTCTCCGGCTAGTGAATTTAACACTAGATCCACGCCTCTGCCTTCCGTTACGCGTAGGACATCACGTTCAAATGATGAATCACGCGAATTAAATATATGGTCCCGACGGATTCCAAAGGTGTCAACGAGATACTTGGCTTTCTCCTCACTGCCAACTGTGGCGTAGATCTTCACAAATGGTAGTCAACATCACGTTTATCTATCCTGAAGAAGGGGGAAAAAAATAGGCCTACGTACCTCGGCGCCATAAACCAGGCAGATCTGGATAGCAGCAAGTCCAACACCGCCACAGGCAGCATGAATCAACACCGACTAAGTTTTGTCAGTGGTATAAATCGTATACATGCTAAAACAAACAAGAAGCTACAAACCTGGCTCTTTTGTAATCCACCAAGATCAAGCAAAGAATAGTAGGCCGTGCCATACACGACACCCATGGTTGCAGCGTCCTCTAGAGTCAGTGTTTCAGGTATACGCACGCAGCTACTTCCCGGAACCACTTTTCGCGTCCGGAATAAACCTGACTGGGCCAAGCAAACCCTGTCTCCAGCAGATAGATGATTCACATTTGAACCAACACGCCTCACAATACCGCTGGCCTCACAGCCAAATTCACCCTCATGCGCCATGAATCCGAGTGCGATCATGACATCCTGACGGGCTCAATTATTAGAATCAGACGCAAAACCTGCTAATGGAAACATTACATACCCTAAAGTTCAGGCCGACAAAATTGATATCAATCTCAACCTCATCGACCGCCAGAATCTGAGGCGCCTCTGCATCTGAGTCCCAGTGGAGAGAACTCAAGGATCCGTAGGAAGAGACTGCAAGCCTTGTTGGTCGGCCGATTTCCGTATCCACAAACAGCCGATCAGTCAATGACGCCCATTGATACCGTCCGATGTGTATGATTCCCTCATATAGGGCAAATTCGTAATCTAAATCCGTCATATCTTTGGCATGGTACTGTTGGCAGAACTTCCCATGCACCCTTAACAGTGCAGCGACAGCATTTTCATCAAAATGATCGATCTCAAAGGTCCCAAAGTAGGGCCCCTCTTCCCGCTTTATGGTACGGGACATGCCCAAAACGAGGCCGTAGTCGGGATCATCACACGCAATTTGGAGAGATCTTGTCACCCACAATATACGGGCAGAGGAGGCCACTAATAGCTTGAACTCATCGAGTCTCTTCTCATTCATATTCTTGAAAAATGGGCCTTCCAGATCTAATAGAGAGATAACTGTTTGGTTTTCGGACATTGTCCCTTCTAAAGATCCCCAACGCACGGCGTATCCACTCTTGAGCAGAGCCTTTGCCACCTGCTGGGCCCAAGGGTGGTTCTGAGGACCCAAAAGCACAATATGCTCCCCCGACTTGTCTTCCCCGTAAGGGACGCTTGCGACCTGAGTCAAACTGCCAGGTAAGGATGTACTACTGAGAGACATATATTTGGATAGTCCCTTGAACCCGGCATTAGAAAGCTCCTCAGTCCACTTCTCAGGGCAGATGCAGGGTGAATAAAAATCTCCCTTATCATCCCACCAATCCGGGAGAAGACCTGTAATACAGAGAGAACTCGGTGTCATTGCATCAAACTCTTGTATAAGAACATGGCCGCCTGGAGCCAGGAGGCTTTTTATATTTTGTAGCGCCTCATGCAGGTTGGCAACAGCGCCCAGCACATTCGATGCTATCACCAAGTCATAGCTTTGTAGCTCGAATCCCTGTTTAGTCGGGTTTATACAGATATCCAAGGTCTTAAACTCAAAGCGCTTGTGGTCTTTGAATACATCCTTAGCTCTGTTAAGAGAGCTCCAACTTATATCCGTGCACATGTATTGTGAGTAAAGCCCTTTGTCCCCTTCAGATAAAATGGCCTTCAGGACGTATGCCGTCGAACCCCCAGTCCCAGCGCCGACCTCGAGAACTTTGAGGACGGGATTTGAATGACGAAGAAGCGCAAAAAACTTGCATAACCCTTCGTTGTAATAAAAAGATTCATATAACACAGTCAGGCCGCCTTCTCGCCGTAAAATCGTCAATGGGTCAACGGTGCCCTGTACAATATCTGCGTAATGGTCGACAACGGTTTTGTTCAATTTCGCTAAGGGTCCCGGTTGATCATCGTGTCGAAAGCGTTCGACTAAGTTGTGACGTGTGTGCAGGAGTGCGTCGGTGTGGATCTCTGCCCGGTGTGGAGCTTCAAGACTTGTTGATTGCTTTTGGAGCAATTCTATGTACCCTTGTAAATAAGGAACACTCGGCTCGTACGGCCGACCTGCTGTGCGATTTGCAGTAGAGAAAGGATGGGTAAATCTTCCAGGTCATATATCTGGGTCCCACGTCTAGGAAAGGTTCCCAGGAGCTGCTCAAGTGGATTGAGTGAAATATCTGGTCGCCATTCCATGTATGAGCCCAGAGGAACCTCCGAGTCTTCACGGAGCTCAGAGCCAGTCACGGGTACCATTAGTGCACCTTGCATGGAGGCCACTGATTGGCCTTCGAATAATATGGTTGCATCCCCTAGGGCATGACTGGCGGTCGGGCTGCTAATGGAGGCCTCAAGATGCAACAGCGGTCCACCCTGGCCGACGTAAACCTTTTCGACAAACGTTGGCAGATACAATTTTGTTGCCTCTCGCGCTCTACCTCGGGAACCTGCAACGCTAAGGAGCTGTAGACATTGATCAACAACCGTAGGATGAATATTGTATTTACATTCATCCTGGGCCGGCTCATGGCAGACTGTTGCGCTAGCCGTGCAACTCATGGGGTCTGCTGTGATGCTCTCTAGCTTGCGGAAACAGGGCCCATACTGCAAGCCAAGGGCTTGGAATGCCCGATAGCATGCATCTGTAGAAACACACCTTGGCAGCTCCTTGATATCATTTGGCTCTTCCGGCTCATGTTTCCCAGCCCTGGCTTTGCCGACAGAATGCTTCGTCCAGGTTCTTCCGTCATAGGAGGTTATAGTAAACTCATACCACTCAGAATCAACTGTGGTAGTAAGTCTTATTGGTTTGAGAGAAGTGATGATCTCAATCCCCGCAGACACTTGCAGGATTAATGGTGTTTGGATATAGACGTCACTCAGTGTGCAGTCAATGGAACCCGATATTTGTCTCATAGCCTCAGTAACAATGGCAATAAAACCTGCAAAGGGGAAAGTAGTTTCGCCAAAAACTTTGTGATCATGGAGCCATGGGACATTGTCCAAGTGGAGAATGTTTCTCCACGCTGGCTCGAGGTTACTGGATTCAAGCATGCGACAGCCTAGCAGCTCATGCTGGGGGTACTTTCGGAACCTCCATTCGCGGCTAACGCGGCTCTCTTTCCAATTGACGCTTGTATAGTGCCATGGGTAAGCTGGGAGGTCAACGAGTGTTTCTCCCGTCCCATTGATACGTCGGAAGTCGAGGCAATAGTTGAACAAATGCATCATTCCCGCGGTCTTGAGTAGGCAACTTGATGCATCGGCATCCTTAAAAAGTGTCGGGATGTAGTGCAGCAGCTCTTTCCGGTCGCTAAATATCTGCTTGGTGATACCCGAAAGTACTGAATGGGGTCCAACTTCTATAAACAGTACGTGATCGCCCATTGTCTTTTCGAGTAAGGCTTCCACGGCTCCCCGGTATAGCACGGGTGATTCCAGATTTCGGCGCCAGTATGCGGCGTCCAGGAAAGTTGGGCCAGGGATTACACTTTCAGTAACAGACGAATACATGGGAATCATGGATTTGTTTGTTTCGATGTAGGGCGAGATCAAGCTTTCATACACCTCACCCAGACAGTACATATGATCTGCAAGACACGGTCAGACTTGTTAGAAAGGGAAGAAACATCATCACACGTACGAGAATGGTATGCCACATCCACATTCACAACGCTGTGGAAGGTCTCTGGCATTTCTTTCTGAATCCTCTCAAGCACGATTGCTAGTCCATCTTTGTCACCAGACAGGTTGACGCATTGGGGACTATTCTCGCACGCCACCAACACGCCATCAACTAAGAAAGGAAGTACCTCTTCTCGACTCAGGCCGACAACAGCCATCCCGCCTGCTCGTCGGTTTAACCTGATGGCCTGGCCGCGATAATAACTCACAATCATTGCGGTCTCAACAGAGATGGCTCCCGCCGTATAGGCAGCAGCAATCTCGCCACTGGAATGTCCCACCACTGCAGTAGGACAAATGCCCCAGCTCGCCAGCAAATTGACAATCCCTATCTGAACCGCCATCACGAGAGGCTGGGAAATCTCCGGCTCATTGACGCGACTGGAACCTTTGGGTCTCAGAAGCTCCTCTTCGATACTCCAGGATGGTATGTGGGCTAGCCGCTGCAATATCCTATCCATTTTCTGGACATCCTGCCGGAAAGTGGTAAATCTTTCAATCAAGCCTCTGCCCATTTCTGGCCATTGCGTTCCTTGGCCAGAAAACGTGAAAACCACTGGCGACTGAGTACAGCATGGTAGTTTTCTGGTTTCGCCTTCGAGGCGACCATCTTTCGCCGAGGCCATGAACGCTCGATATTTGAGGTGGTCCCGCCTCGCTCCGAGGGTGTATGCCACGTCGTTGAGGGACTCTGGATGAATCTTGACGTATGCCTGTATGTTTCTAACTTGTTTCTGGAGGGATTCTTCGCTTTGTGCCGACACTACCAGGAGTCGCGAACGATCTGGCTCAGTATTAGCACCTCGCTTGCCGGCCTTGCGGCGGACAGAAGCCGGGAGCTCCAACACAGCCTGCGCGATGTTAGTTCCGTCCGTTGGACCATTGAGGGAGAACAACTCACATGCGCATTGGCGCCTCCGATACCAAAGCAGTTGACGCTGACTCTGTCTGCACGACTAGAAGGCCAAGGAGTTGGTTCGGTCGGCACCTGTAGACCATTTTTCTTGAACGGAACTATACCGAGCCCAGTAGTCAGCACGGCAAACGTAACCCAGGCGAAAGAATATCAGTACTTTTGGGGTTCGGCGTGGTGAAGTGGATATTGGGTGGAATGGTCCGGTGCTCAAGTGCAAGCACAGCCTTGATGATACTCGTCAGGCCCGATGCCCCTTCGCCGTGCCCGACATTTGGTTTTACCTATATATACACGTCAGACAACAGTCGCCTCCCGAGTAAACTTCATACCGCTCCCATGTAAATGCCTTCCGGCCCAAAAACCCTTCCCACAGCCATTGCTTCGGCCAAGTCACCCGCTTGTGTTCCTGTCCCATGGCATTCAAAGAAAGCCGTCTGGGCGAAATCATCGATGCGAGCACGCTGATATGCCTGCCGGATCAGTCGTTCCTGGCTATCTGCATCCGGAGAGAAAATCTTCTGCGTTCTGCCATCAAAGTTGGCTGCTGTCGACCGAATAATCGAACGGATGGGATCGCCATCTCTAATTGCCTCGTCCAGCGGCTTGAGATAAATTGCATTTACAGCTTCTGCTCTCGCATACCCATCGGCGGCGGCATCGAATGTTTTACAGTGACCACTAGCGGACAGGACCATGTTATCGGACATGTTCGCCGTCATGGTTGGGGATACGATCATGTTGGTCCCCGTGACGACAGCCGATGAACAGGTGCCAGCATAGAGTGCACAGCATGCTTCATGCAAGGCTACCATTGAAGAGGAACAGGCTGTTTGTACCGTGACGCTAGCACATATCAGCGGTATCTTGCCATGTCTGTCTGGGTTGAACGCACCTCGGCCCTTTCAAGTCATACTCATAGGAAACCCTGTTCGACAGGGCAAACGCTCCAGTGGCAAATGCATGAACCCGTGGAATCTCCTGGGTCTCCTTCGCGGATAGGTCATGCCAATCCTCACCGAAGACACCTACGTAGCACCCGATATCCTTCCCACGCCAATCCGTCTGCCCAGCGTTTTCCATACACTCCCAGACCACTTCCATTAGCAGCATTTGCTGGGGGTCGAGTTTTCCCGCATCATATCCTGCCGTTTCAAAAAACGTCATGTCAGCCGACCCGACATAGTCTTCCTGTAAAAAGTACCCGGATCGTGTCTTCACCGATTGAGGTTTTGTCGGGTGATAGAATGCATCCACATTGTAGCGACTCTCCGGGACTCTAGTCGAGGCATCCTGTTTGTTGATTAAGAGTTCCCAGAACTCCTCGCTGCTGTGGATACCGCCAGGGAGTCTCATGGCCATTCCAACAATCGCAATTGGCGGAGGCCCTCCCTGGTGGCCAGTTTCGCAGGCGGATGACTGGGTCGACGATTCCTGGTTCTGACTGCTTGAGAGTTTCCTTGCGGTATCTCCATCCTGAACTTTGCTACCTGCACCAGCTTCACGGCAGTAGCTCATCTTTGCCTCCATTATGGATAAAATGCTATTGTCGAACTCTCGTGGCTCGCTGCGGTCTCAGTAGTAGCTAATCTAGAGGAGCGAAACAAAAGGTCCGGATCAAGATTGTAGATGTTGATATGTGAATACCTTGATCGGTTATTTCTATGAGAGGATGGTGAACACCCAACCAGCGCTTTCGGGGGGCAATTCAGCGGAAAAGGCAAAGGGTGAAGGCATGCACGAATTCTCGACAGGGAACAGATGATACTTATTTAAGTCGCCGGCATCTAGAACGCACAAAGCTCGGGAAAGGAAGCGCAAAGGTATTCGGCAGGTATGCCCTGTACCAATGAAGAGATGCACCACCAGTAAATGAAGGAGAGTAAGGTCGAATCAAGGACGCAGAAGATGTCGTATCCCAAAACCGTTCCAGGTCGCGGCAGCTTTGGACACCCTTGACTATTTGGTTTAACATATATCGTAATAGTTCAATCGTTGTATTTCTCGAATCAGTTGAGGGTTTGCCAAGACGCTATTCAACCAAAGTCAAGTTCCCAGACGTGCATGGTCGACACCGCTCCATAGCTCTGGATCAGCGAGTTTAACACATCGCTGATCGAATGCTGCCGTATTGGGCTCGGCATCTCATCCCTCCTTGCAGTCTGTAGGAGGGATCAGCGCGGAATGACCAAAGACAACGGTTGGATCCGAGGACTCTTGGTTAGCGCATCTCGATGGGGTCTTGATCATCATGGGTAAGATTTCCGGAGCACTTTGAGCGGTCGCTTGGGAATGTCAAGGAACTTAGAGTTTGGCTTCGTAGGGCCAATGATTACCCAGAACACTCTTTACCGTGTTTTCATTCGCATTCCAAATTTGGAGATAACTGCCCTTGGTTGGCAGGATGTCAGAGTTCATTGCACGGAATACGAAAATGTGAGCAAGGGGTGGCTGGCTGACACCAATATGCAAGAAAGGATCAGCCACCACCTCGCGCGAAAGAAGGAAAGTATAGAAGCAACACAGGTGGGTTCATACCTAGACATACTCAAATCCAGACAAATGAATGATCCATTCTGAAATATCTTGAAGCCACCGCATTCATGTACGGAGAGGAAGGCTGAAAGCAGTAGTGATCCGGTACCATCTTTGGCTTTCTTTGGAGAAAGGAATGTTGGTTGTGAAGGTATTTAAATCACAGATAGCCTCCATATCAGAAGATGCGCAATTACTGTATTGTACTGTTCTCGGTGTCACTGCGTATCTCGGTCCAACTCAGAACGATGCATCTCAAGTTTTCATACATTGCTGCTCTTCTCTTGGGAGCGGCCCAGCCAGCATTCTGCGCCCAGAACTTCAAACAAACTTTGGCAGACTTTGACGCTATTGACAATGCCGCTCGAGAGTTTCGTGTCGCCATCGAAAACTATCACGGGGGCCTTGCTGGTGCTGTAGCCGTTGGGAACAAGGCTCGCGCGGCCCAAAAGGTCGCGGACAATGCGAGGAAAAACCTTGACGCAAGCGACCAGCCCTTTACCGATGCCGAGGTCAAGGACGCGATGGACAGATACGACCGTACAACTCCGATTGTCCTGGACAACGTGCATAAGGTGGCGGAAAAGGTGCGAAAATGAACCCACTCTTTTCTTTGGTGCTGAGCATCATATGTTTTAACATGGATACAATGTCTACTAGGCTCCCGAGTTCCGCGAAGCAGGCGTTGAAAGTATTGCCCATGGAATGGTCACCCATATGCGTGATACGACCGAAGCTCTTCGAGTCGCCTACCGGAAAAGGCTGCCTCCTGGAGACAACAATCGGATGATGCCGTCGGATGAGAAGTTCAATGCCGCCTTCCAGGAAGCCGCCACTGCGCTCTCAGTGTAGATGCGTCAATACCGATCCAGGGCAGTTCCCTCCTGGTCAGTTTGATTAGGTTCAGTGGGTCTGTCATATCGGGGGAACATGTTGTCCGGTAATTAGGCTATAACTATTATCAGAACTCGTTAATAATTCCAAGGTGGTTAAATGGTCTATGCCTCACAGCCCCGGCATGTATGTGTAACATACTAAAGCTTCCATCGAAGGCCTTTTCCAATATAATATACTGTAACCATCTCTGGCAGAGTCATCCTGAAAATTCTTCGGCGTATTCGGTAAGGACAGGGGATACTTGTCATACCTCATCCAGGGTCGTTCGCTATACATTCCCCACCCTGTATTCAGCAAGGGAGCGCAATTTCGCATCCCACCAGAAAGATGCCAAAAGAAGATCTCAGAATGGCACCCTCTGTCAGTCAGGAGTGCCACATTCTATAATATATCTTCGATAGTCCCTCCCTCCATACCGCGGCTCCAGATCACATTGGAGCAGCTCTCTTGTGACCGCAGGCATGATTCAAGGCGAAGATCGTCCTCGTGGGCACATCAAAGTACTTGGCCTTGGCCTCTGCCGTACAGGAACCGATTGTAGTGACCCCTTTTTCCAACCCCGTGAAGAACCAATCACTGATAAGACAATGGTCCCAGCCTTGCGAGAGGCACTGAGAACCCTAGGTTATGCCAACCCTTACCATGATATTCCTGTTTGGAAAATCCAAGTGACTGTGAGCACTGGTATTCGGCTTTGTCCGCCAAATATGATGGTATTGGAAAGCCGTACGGACAAAAGGAATTTGACCAGATTATAGGCCAGAGCCAGGTAATTTTCTCCGAGTTCCAAAAATCTGGGCCAATCCTTTGGGAATTAATAAAAATGGAAATAGGCCCTCTGTGGTGACTTTCCTGCGGCTTGCTTTGGCCCCGAACTGATCAAAGCATATCCAGAAGCGAAGGTGATTCTTACGTATCGCGATGTAGACGAGTGGTATCAGTGAGTGTCGGTGAAACTATTACAACGTCGACAAATAAATATAAACAATCTAACACTGTGCCCCCAGATCTGTACACAAGACAGTACACTGCTTGGTTAGCAGTCGGCTCTGGGCGGTAGCAGCCAGAGTCGCCAGAGCGCTTGGGATGCAATCTTTCTGGATTCAGCCAACGTGGCACAAGATATGGGAGGGCTTCTTCGAAGGTGATTTTGAAACGAATGGACGGAGAGTCTTCCGTGAACACTACGAGTTGATCACACAGCTGGTGCCAGCCCGTCATTTGCTCATTTTCCACGTCCGTGAAGGATGGGAGCCTCTGTGCGAGTTCCTTGGTCAGCCTGTACCGTCTACGCCATTTCCCCGTGGAAATGGCATTCAGAGCTATCATCTTAGATGTGCCTTCTTACTGCTCTACGGTAACCGTGTACGAACCCTTACGTTACCATGTACGGCAGGACTTGTGTTGCTAGTGTGGGCGGTACTTGTAGCATGAGGAAGATGGCCAGATGTAGGACAGGTTTATAATTAGATTACAGTATTGCTATCTGTAGTTGTGATTTAGTTCTTAGTTACAGTTATTATGGCTATGCCAGTCATGAGATAATTGAATTCATAAACACAACGCAGGGTGCTGTTTATCATGGTGACTTTGACACTATATATAGTGGCTTAGGGGAGTGTGCTATAAAGGGTTCTTATAAAGGCTAATTAAGGGTGCTCGTAGTAGAAAGACAGTAGAGAGAGATAGAAAAATTGTTATAAGATTTATAAAGACTTTTCTAAACTAGAATTAATTAGATCTGGTTTTTACTAATTATATAAAAATATATAACAATATACAATGCTTTACCATAAAGTATCGTAAATTAAAATTATATAGACCATTGGCCTACAGAAGTTACTCCGATGGTATACTGCTTATTAAATCGCGCATACCGAACAAGCCCTTACAATATTATAGTGATCCTCTTCTCTATCGTATAAACATTCTATATGAAAGGAAATAATCGGAACCACAGATCAGTTGTGTCGAACTTGGGAATTCCATGTACTGTTCATACTATAGCCGAAGAGATCTGGGGGCTAAGCGTCAGCACTAGGCCTAACTCTCTTAAGATGGGTGCCTTACGGGATTCTGTCTTGATTTCAAATCGCAAGATGCAAATTACATAAGCTAAAAGGCAACCGCTATTCGACTCACTAGAAATCGCGACTGGAAATCCAAAATAAGAATCTCAAGTGACAAGGATATTGAATCCTCCTCCAGACTTCACATGATCAAAGGGGAAATGAACAAGGGAAGAATATGGTGTTGATTAAGATTGAAATCATCTCAGATGCAATCTGTCCCTGGGTACGTGTGCCAGTCGCTACAGTTACAATAGCCCCATAGCTGATCTGCCAAAGTGCTACATTGGGTATCGAAACCTGCAAAAAGCTATCTCCTTATACCAAAAGACATACCCCGGCGGCTCGAATGACACCATAGAGGTATGGTGGAAACCATACTTCATCGATCAAGAACCGCCAAAGGAAAGCATCTTAATACAAGGTCAGTCAGTCTTCGATCCTATAATAAGCACGACACGCTGCCACGAGCCGAACCTAACTCATGGGCTAGACCGTATGCTCCGCCGCATGGATCCCAAAATGGTAGCAGCGGCCCAAACCCGCTTGAAGCGCGTAGGTGCGGATGCCGGGATCCGATTCAAGTTCGGTGGGTATATCGGGTCGTCTCGACTAGCGCATCAGCTGCTCTATATGGCCGCGCGGGAAGGGAGTGAGCTGCAGTGTCGGGTTTCAGAATTACTCTTCCACTACCAGTTCGAGGAGGAAGCCGATATTAGCCAATTAGATACCGTGATTGCGGTTGGTGTACAGGCTGGACTGCGTGAAGATGATATTCGAGAGTGGCTAGCTAGTGGTGTCGGGGTGGCGGAAATAGAAGCTGAAGCGAAGAAGGCGAGGGCTGATGGAGCCACCGGTGTACCCCATTTTGCTATTGGGGGGAAGTATCATATGGAGGGTGCTGTGGATATGTCGGAACTGTTTGAAGCTTTTGTTGCTGTTAGAGAAGGGCAGTAGATCTTGAGGAAGTGATATGGCGTTGTGAGCGTTCGACATATCAATCTTCGGGGCTTCACCATGACAGATTCAAGCCATTCCCTCCCCAATTGTGCTCGTAGAAGCTATGTTTGATGTATTGAATTTGCGTCCAAATCCGGAGATCATAGAGGGTTGTCTAATAGAGGCCTGATGAGGATCTTCTTTGGACTTCGTACATGGTGTTGGACTGTACGAAACAATTCATATCGGCTGCAAGCTACTAGACACTGTATCCGGCTTCGCCATCCGGATTGAAATCACATGAAGTACCTCTAGTGATGCTTAAGATCCCATTACTCAAGGTTCGACTCCATTTGAGGTGCTGTATATGCCGCTTAGAGCATTGTATCCACCCAGTCTATCGGGGCACATGCACGGAAGATTGAAACAACCAACAATATGAGTAATAGATATTGAAGATCTTACCAGAAGCGGTATACTGTACATGCCATCATCTGTCCAGGAAATGCTCTTCATCTAATCTTCACCCAACACTGGAAGTAGAAAGGTCTAGGCAGCCATCGTTAGTGCTTATCTACTGCAGCATTTGCTCCAACAGCCAATCGTAGAATCGCATATCCTGAAATTCGGCAACCGAAGGATTAGAAGCTGATGTAATGACAGGGATGGTAATCCTTCATTTCATTTACTCAAACTGTGACGATTACTGTTGGCATATCGTCTCCACATAAGGCGTCCAGTTCCTCTTTCTTGCGCGGCAGCCCACTCAAAATCCTGTTTAATATGAGCACTTAAGAGGCACTCCCTTTTCAAGTAACTGGTATCTTCCCACTTTCAGCGAACCTCGGTATATTTCGGTTTGTTAGAGTTATCTGCATGTGTGGTTACGTTTCCAAGTGGCCACCTTGCCTCCACTGTGGCCCGATTGTATGGGCACCTGTGGACCGTTTCAGGCTAAAATATGCACAATAACCGGCCAGCCTGTATTCCGTACTGTGAATACAACCATAGGTATCTGATTTCTAAGATGGGTATTATTGAGAAATCACCTTCTACAACAGGGTCGTTTCTCATATTATGCCATTATAAGTAAACACTGCTGATGATATCACGGTGTTGGATTAGTGATCCGGAGCCCTCGTTGAGACCATTGGCAACTAGAACTACCCTTGATAAACCAGGCTCCAACATTAGTATCGATCAAGGATCGAGATCCTTCTGACTATAAATTAGCAGAAAGAAGCAATTCAGCTATGAAACAAGGAGATTAGTGATCCGTAGCCGTTGGGATCCACTTCTTCAGACACCCGCATATACGACTGAGTAATCCAGGGTCCTTGTCAAGTGTGTGATCGACATAAGCAGTAGCGTACAACTAGTCTTGAAGAAGCGAATGATATGTACCCTGGAGGAGGTTTTGCCGCTGGAGGCGAGCGGGAATGCGGGTAAAACCGCGTTGTTGCCACCCACCGTTTTGCCAAAGATTGGGTTAGCAGCTTCAGGGAACTCATGCTGCTAGGTTCTGTTGGGTATGTTCTCATCAGGACAAGGTTGCTATTCCTGTTAGCCCTTACCCTGTTCCGAAAGCTTGTAATATGCAGCAGCCCTTGTTAGATGTTGTTACTCAACTAGTGCTCTTATTGCTTCAACTTCTCGTTACTCTTGTTCAGGAAGGTTCTCCGACTATTCGAGTAGCACTCGACGAACGGCCCAGTCACTATAGAAGACCTGTTTTGGAGCATCCTCAACCCGTGCAGGTATCTTATATCCGGGAAGATGTTGTACTTCATGTAAGCCCTCATCCCATAATGGAATCGTCCCCACCATCACTTGTTTGGGCACCGCACACAAGTGGCGATGATACTCTGAGCCAGGACTATTAGATTGAAGCGTTATACGGTATTCACCGACTACTCAGAATCTCAGATTGGACCACAGGGTACAACTCTATCACATCATATTAGTCCCATGTTGATCCATTTCTGTTGGCTCCTCTGAATACATCGAGAGCTTCGGCTTGTGCCGACAGTCATTTACTCGGATTGGCTCATGTCGGAGGATTCGACTCCCGGCACAGATAACAGGATGCAGGGATAGTTGAGCAAGATCAATAACCCTGTCGTCAGAGCCACAGTGGCAAGGCTTACTTCCCCTGTTGCAACGCTCCTCCACGGCAGAAGTGGCCTTGTGAGGCGCGCGGCCTGTACTTTTAACTCGGCCGGTACATCGGCACTGTATTTAGCGTGTCTCGAACGGACGTGCGTTCGACATGTAGGACTGCCCCCGTTTATCTTAGTGCAATGTGAGTCGCAGATCTAGCGTGCATTCCTAAATGTCTCATATTACGCTGCCCCTTTGGAGGCATGTCAGGAAGCTGTTCTCTCCGGCCGTAGCATTTAGTAACTGTGTCGTCTGGATATCCTGCGCCGTGCACATTGCTCGGGCTTTTCTCATCTGGAAGCAACGAACTATATGACAAACCCGAAAGACAATCGAGAATTACTTATACTCTCTTGCTTTGTTTGCGGCTATTTGCTGAGGTTGAGAAATACCCACGCTGCCACGCGGAAGGTACTTTTGCGACCCTAAACACACCTGTAGGAGTGATAGATAAGGGAATCAAACAGAATTATGGCCGAAGTCGCAAACATCCCTGCCGGCAATATAGTTATTAATTTGCATAGCTTGTAGGGCCTGTGTGGGTCGAGCGCTGTGCACGGTATTTAGTCTGATAAGTCCAGAGCCAGCCTTAATCCCTGTCGATCTCCGCTAAGCCGGATTTGCCGTATGCCGAGGGGGAAGTGATTGGGTGGATATGAGGCTTATGTTGGAGATTGACTTATATTAAGCATGTTATAAGATATAGACCGGATTGCGAATTGGCGGGCATCACGCTGATCGACGCCATTTTTCATGCTGTTGGCGATTTCTGATTACTAGGGGGATGATGTCTAGAGGGATGGAAGGCGGGCCTTTGGAGGACTTGGAGAGATAGGCGTCAAACATTTCATCTAGTGTGGCGACTAATATAGATTCCGATGCTCTATTTGCTAAAACTATAAATCACATTCTCTAATATCTAAAGCCTCTATCTCTAGCAACTAAGAACGAACTAATCAGCGCGACATACGGAACCATCTGCCATTGGGAACAGTCACCGAGCCCCACTTAGTTTGCAGTGACCAGTGAAACATATGTCTGCAGGTTGCTAGTGTGGTGCTCGCCCAACCCTGGCTTATCGCCAATCTCCTTGCCGTGGGTATGGAAGGCGCTGCTCACAGTGAAGCGTACGCCATTCCATTCCCGGACCACACCGTGCCGCCGGCGCGCAATGTCATTGATCAGAGGCACCACCTCCTCGGCAGCCGTGATAACGTTGCTCACCTTGCCGGGGAAGATATGGATGACACCGTCTTTCTCGAAGGTCAAACTGCTTCGGAATTCCGATGTGGTCTTGAGCTTGGCCAGAACACTACCCTTCCAGCCGCGGTAGTGGAACCGATCGAGAAATCCGGGCCAGAACCGGGTAATCTCCCGCTCGCAGTGGGGCTTGATCCGAGCAGCGATGGCTTCCTCGTCAAGACTATCCAGAAGCTCTTGGCCCTCCTCGTGATGATCGAATGATCCGAGGATGGTGTAGCTACCGTGTGTTAAGATATACTTCTTCTGAAAAGGTTCGTTCGTGTCGATCGCCGGCATCACGCAGGGAAACCAGCCATCCATGACGATGAAAGAAAGAGGCTTTTCCTGTGGCTGCTGGTCCTCGTAAACCAGAGCAATACAGGTTTGATAGGTGATACCAATGTCGACGGGAAGAGCATCCGCGATGTTCTGTGGCAGAAGGCTGGTGTAGCCGGTGGCGTTGATTACCACGTCGAAGATGTACTGCCCATCTCCGGTTTGAATACGGTTGGTTTCCTCGGTGTGGATGATACGGTCGACTGTCGTATTGAGGTGTACGTAGATGCCTGCACGACCCAGCTTCTCTTTGAATGCATTCCGGAGTCGGTCGCCAATGGCAACACTGGGTTCGTCCAGATTGTATGCGCTAATAAGGCCCTGGAAGCCATTCGCCTCCGGGTCAACTGTAGTACATTCAGGAGATTCGTAACAAACGTCCCTGAATGCCTCATCGGAGACCTTCGATGGGTTTCCCAGAGCGTCGGCTTGGCCGTGTGCATATATCGCGGATTCATGGTAGACAACTAGTTCGGGATACGTCTCGCAGAACTTAGCCAAGGCTTCACGGCAGCTGTCGCGAGTGGCTTTGGACCGAGGATAGTGTGGCCCCTTGTGCAAGCGGATACCAAAGTTTCCTGAGACGCCTTGGAAGATATCAGGCTTCTGTTCGAACAAAGAAACTCGGTGGCCTTGTTTCTTGAGCTCCAGGGCAAGATGGCAGCCGTTCCATCCGCCACCGACGATGCCAACCCTTAGCTGTGTGGTGACACGCATTATGAAGAGGCGGGTAGTTATAGTCTAGAGATGATTGTGTTTGGTTCTAAAGCTTGAGAAAACTGGTTGTTGAAGTAGGTAGGAATAGCCCCCAAGGCTTCCCATAGCTTTATATCCTTCTCGCCAGCAGGGTAGCTTGACTCACTTCCGTGGCCATGTCAAGGGTGCTCTTTCCATGATTGTAACCCAACATTCCCCGATAGCGACACATGCACTCTGAAGCCAATCGCATTCAATGTGATACGAACGGATGAGGTGGAATGAGCGGCAAAGTCGGGATAGATGATTGTCGACGACTCCAGAAGATCGTAACATACTTGAATGAGTTTTTGATGCATGTCAGCGCTTGATAATGTCACATCCGCGGCGATGCATCCGCGACACAGTATCCAATGAGAGGGTTGGTGGACGGCACGAAAGGAAGCACGCTAGTCGGGATGTGCAGCCTTTGCAGTGGACAGTGCGCCCTGCAGAATACAAAAAAAACCATTCTGCAGGTATGGTATCATCGCTTAAGGATTCCAATCCTAGCAGATACCCGTCGGGGGATAACGGGATCCCGAATTAGGGTTATCCAGTTGCAGCGTTGGAGCCGCGCGTCGGAGTTAACATTTATTCCGACTGCCCGATAACCTCGTACTTTTGGCCCCGTCATTCTCACTCTCCCGAACCCCCCACTGATAGACCAACGTCGACTGCGATAGATCCCTTTCTTACGCGATAACCCTGTAGTGCAGCGTAATGTCGTTGAATACCGATGATTCCGGTCGGATAAGGACCCGGCAGCGCGCGAAAAGAGCGTGCGAAACGTGCAAACTGCGCAAGCGGAAATGTGACGGCCATGAGCCCTGCACTTACTGCTTGCGATACGAATATCAGTGCACTTTCAAACCTCATCCACGGAGAAAGCCAGCCGCTTCCAGATCTTCTGCAAGGCCCAGCGAGGAAGAAGACTCACCAAAAGTTTCCGACAGAGTTGATGCTAATCAAGAACATATGGAAGCCAACTCTGGCACTGCTTTCCCCCATCTCCTGGGGATGAGGTTGAATCCGCAGGGTGCCCCCAAGGTATACGGGTTTAGCTGGAATCTAGGACCACGGGATGAGCCTCTGGAGCCCTTCGCGAATCTTACAAATCTGCTTTCAAGAGAGGAGATGGAAGACTTGGCCAGCCATTATTTAAAGAAGATACATCCAGTGTATGCGGTCCTGGACCCCGACACATTAAGGCAAAAGATTGTTGCCCGATGGCATGATCCTGCAACTGTGGCCAGCTATGACCCCATTCTCTGCGGCGTCGCGGCATTGGGCTCGTTGTACTCAGGCCATCAGGAACACCCGAAGGAAGGAGCGCTGGTGCAGTCTGCAAAGGAGATGCTCGAAACCACCCGGATCTCAAAGACCACCCTCCTGCATCATGCCACCGCCTGGATCTTACGGACCATATATCTCCGAAGCACCAACTGCCCCCATGCCTCGTGGATGGCCAGTTGTTCCACCATGCACATCATAGAGGCTATCGGGGCTCACCAAGATCCAGAGCTGGTGTCTTTGGTTTATTCTGACACCGCAGACGTTAGCGTAAATGACGAGAGTCAACGCCGGCTGTTCTGGGTAGCCACTGTGTTAAATTCATGGATCTCGTATGAATATGGTCGGTCACGCGTTATTCTACGAGGTGTCTCCTGCAAGCCACCTTTACCGCGAACGGGCGACTTCACCACGGACCTCATCTCCATGTACCAGATCTCCGAACGACTGGATCCCGATCAGAACAATAAGCTTTCAGACCTAGAAGATGCACTCAGCCGTGTTGAGCGTCTCACACTTTCCCATGACGCCTTGATACTATCCCAAAGTAATCTGGCACTCACTATTTATCGTCGTTTGCGAGTCGCTTCGTCGAATATGTCGAATGACATTCTCACCCGCATTATCCGGCTAGGCAATGACGGCCTTGAGGCTGCGGTACGCCTGGCGCAGGATCGTTGTCCTTGGTGGCATGTCGCCAATATACCCTTTCAGTTCCTCTGTATCTTGCTTGCTATTGACACTAGGGAATCACTGTCGTACGTGGGTCCGGCACTGCGCTCATTCAGGGCCATCACCAGTCATTACAGCACCCCAACCCTACACACCGCACTTGAGACTATAGAATCATTGGTTCGCCTCTCCCAGAACAAGAAAGAACGGGACTTGATTCTTCTCAGAGATAGTATGCAACAAGAAAACTCGGGGCTAACCGAACAAAGTTCAACAACATCCCAAGCTTTCAACGACGCATCTTGGCTGGGAGCGACCGGTGATCTGACCTTACCAGATAACTTTGACTGGGATTGGAATGTATTCTTGGATACCCAGGTTCCATTCTTCGACGAGGGTGAATACGGTGCTCAGAGATATAGATAATGCAGGAAATGAGGACTATTTACACCACCAGGAAGTGCTCGTATGCGTCTACTTATAGTATTAGTTAATGGACCTAGGACTTAATAAATCTGTTTGGATTATATCATAGACAGACATACCTCTTGTAAACTGTTCCTTGCCCTTTGGCGCCGAATAAGGATTTTCGGAGCTATTCAGCGGTTAAGTCGGGCATGACGGGAAAGTCGGTTAGGGCGGAATTCGGGTTGACGCAATGGAAGCACCACCAGAAATAAATACTCTGAAAGAGCACATTTGTTCTAGCCGAGGAGTAAAAACGTTTGACAGATGTTGCTTAATTGACTGCCTTTCTCCCAATTCCTTTTTGTATTTTCTGGGTTGTGTCCTGATCGCCTCGCAACGATGCAGTCTTTTCGCCAATACCGACGCATGCGCAGAGACCTGCAAGAGAGCATTAAGCTGCACGGTCCGTATGCCGCTGCTGGTGATCGTCACGTACAGCCGACCGATGATATCTTGGAGGATGCCGATGATGCCCGATTGGAAAAAGGTGTTCATTCAATGGACGGTCACGGCCAATCGCCATACTCCACGCCTGGAATCGTTCTCCACGACGGCCAGAAAGTGACTGTTCCTGGAGTGAACCTCCGCCGCGCATCCGAAATCTGTGAGCGTGTCAATACAAAAACACTATTCATTGTCGGGTTCGATGGCCCGGACGACCAGCTCAATCCCAAAAACTGGCCTATAGGGAGGAAATGGGCGACATTGGGCATTGTCGGCACAACGGGTATGCTTGTTGGATGGGCTTCATCCATTGACTCTACTGTAATCAAACAAGGGCAGGAAGCGTTCGGAGTCAGCGAGGTTGCCGAATCTCTTGCAACCGCGCTGTTCCTGTTCGCCTTCGGCTTCGGATCTTTGGTGGCAGCACCCTTTTCTGAGACTGTTGGGCGGAATCCAGTCTACATAGCGACGCTGTCCATTCTTATGATTTTCACAATGGCATCCGGTCTGGCCCCAAACTTCGGAGCCCAGCTTGCTTTCCGCTTTTTAGCTGGATTGTTCGGATGTACACCGATGACAACCTTTGGCGGCAGTATGGCGGATATCTTTGACCCTATGGACCGCACATATGCCTTTCCAGTTTGTTGCACGTTGTCCTTCCTGGGTCCGTTCCTGGCGCCAATGGTTGGAGCTTTCATTGGCCAAAGCACGCACATCAGCTGGCGCTGGACCGAATGGGCTACGCTGATCATGGCTGCGTTAGTGACCGGTGCTATCTCCCTGTTCGTTCCAGAAACTTATGGTCCCGTACTATTGCAGTGGAAGGCGAAACAACTTCGTGAGATAACCGGTGACCAGCGGTTCATGGCGGAGATTGAGCTTCGCCAGACGTCCCTCGTGACTCGGTTGATGCACAGCTGCTCCCGCCCGTTCCATTTATTCTTTCGGGAGATCATGGTAGCACTCTTTACCATGTATCTGGTCGTGGTCTACATCGTCCTATTCGGGTTCCTGACGGGCTATGAGTTCATCTTTGGTAGGACATATGGGTTTACCCAAGGGTCTGTGGGCCTGACATTCATCGGCATGAACGTAGGATTCCTGATCGCCTTTGCCATGGTGCCGCATATCTACTTCTCATACAAGAAGCGGCTCCTGAATGCGATTGAAAATGGACACAATGGCTTGCCGCCGGAAGAGCGACTTTGGTTCGCTATGTACGGAGCGCCCTGGCTACCAATCTCTCTTTTCTGGATGGGCTGGACCAGCTATCCGTCTATCTCGTACTGGTCGCCGCTAGTCGCCTCGGTGGCTTTCGGATTCTCTGTGCAAGGAATCTTTATTTCCACATACCAGTACCTCATCGACACGTATGAGCTCTTCGCAGCCAGTGCCTTAGTGAGTGCAACTTTCTTCCGTTATATCGCTGCTGGCGCGATGGTCATCGTGTCGATTCCGATGTATGGAAATTTGGGCGTACATTGGTCCCTCACGTTGTTGGGATGTATCTCGGTCCTGATGACGCCTGTGCCGTATATTTTCTATAAGTATGGACATGTCATTCGGCAGCGGAATAAAAAGACGCCTTAAGGAGTGTGCCGGAAGGGTGTGTCGTTCAATTACTCGGACGCGAATGCAGTGAAATGACCAGTCAAGGCCAATAGTAGTCAGTGGCAATGGAACGCGGGTTAATAAAAGCTAGTAGATACAATTAATTTGATTCACCGAAGCATCATTCGTGGTAGTTCATATAGTACATAGAGTCCAGAACATCATTACTGATGATCTTTGGGGGTTTTGGAATAGAACCCGGGATATCAGCGAGGGCCTTATTTTCAGGCAACAATCGTTGGCAGCCACGTGCCGGGCAGACAAACGATGCAAAAGTAGCCATCTTCCTTGACATCCGTTGAACTCCCACCTTTGTGAATCCATCCCTCGAGGCAAGTGTGTCTGTGCTTCCATCTCGGGTAAATCTCCGCTGGCGCTGCCAGCTATCCAGCATTTAGTTCTCACAGCAATAACCGATATGTACGCCGTATCATTCGTTTACGCAACCATGGTTATATCACACATCCAATGGTTGGCTCGGTCCGCTTGCGTCGGCCAAAATCCGTTTGTTAGCCGCTCGGTGAGATTCCGAGGACGGCAGAACTTCTCCATTACTTGAGCTGAGCTACCCCGGTGGCCAGGTTTGGCGAGTGGAGCCCGTGGGGTGTCGCATGCGGAGAGTCTCAAAATGCCCCGGAATCGGGCCACGCACTCCGTAGGGACAACAGACTGGCAACTGGCTCTCTCGGCTCGGCCTATGTTCTAGCATTCCTCATTCTCTGGATGATCAGTCAATTGTCCGATAATGATAAGGCCGACCCGGATGGGTATCGGCTCATCGCGTCAGCCCTCACATTGACCCCCCGTCCTGTCGGCCTTTCACCACGCGCTCGGTTTCGGCTACGTTTAATGCCTCATAGACCAGATCGTACGGATGCCATCCTTGGGTCAAGGCGTCCACAGCAAGCCAATCGCACATTAGCCATGCTAAGCATTTGCCGACTCTCCACTTTGAGTGGGTTTCGTCCCGGGTTCAGACATGGTCATTGGAGGGTTGGAAGACAAGCACGACAAGCCTTTCATACTTTCCCTGCCAAGTCCCAATTTTCTAATGTCTGGTGATCAAGACCACCCACCTCTGCGGGTCTCGCAGGATCCTTTGCGAGATTTCCAGCAGTACTAGGCTAGAAGGTCCGGCGCAAGAGAGCCGAATGCCCCTCCACTGCCTCAGGATTAATGGCCCCCTTCTCGCCTCGGCCAGTATTATGCCTTCTGGCTCCATGAAGGCGGTAGAGAACTGAGAGACGTTACTACCTTGTGCCCCCTTTATTTATTTCCTTTTCACCTCATAATTATCCCCTTCCACCGGACACAATTGACTCAGGATAGAAAAGAGAAAAAGAAGTCATGATGCAAGGCGAGGCACTTCGTTTTGCCCAGATCTTCTTGATCGTTTGCCCGTCATTCATTCTTTTCGGTTACAATCAATCCGGTGTCGGGGGTTTGACAGACTTCCCTTCGTGGGTGAGGCAGTTCCCTGAGATTGACACTGTCAATACCACAGGCGCTCAGAAATCCCACAATGCTACAGTGCAAGGCGCTGTGGTTGCTTCTTACACCCTTGGCGCTCTCTTTGGGTCCCTGATCTGTACGTGGATTGGCGACATCCTCGGTCGGCGTCGGACTATCTTTGCTGGAGCGTGTATTGCCCTGATAGGCCAGGCATTAGAATGCTCAGCTTATGCTCTCGCCCAGTTCACAGTCGGCCGGGTAATTCTCGGTTGGGGTGTGGGTATGCTGAGCGCTACGGTGCCGGTCTGGCAGTCAGAGTGCTCACCAGCCGATAAGAGAGGGAGAAATGTAGTGTTGACGGGCATGTTTATCGCCTTCGGGTTTGCCCTGACACAATGGATCAACTTTGGTTTCTATCACATGCAGGAAAGTTCCGCGTCATGGCGGGGGTCGCTAGCAATCCCAGCACTGTTCTCTTTGACTGTCATGGGTAGCATCTTCTTCCTGCCAGAATCTCCTCGCTGGCTTGTTCTCAAAAATAGATCAGATGCTGCGCAGCAAACCCTTGCCAATTTGAGGCAGAAGGATCTGGTGTCACCCGAGATTATGCACGAATTGCGTGGAATTGAAGTCTCCCTGGAGGAATCATCAAGTGGTAACATGGGACTCAAAGACATCTTTACAATGGGGGAGGAGAAGCTGTTTTACAGATTCCTTCTCTGTATTCTCCTACAATTCTTCCAGCAAATGACCGGCGGTACTCTAATTTCAGTCTACATCCCCATCATCTTCGAGGATAATTTACACTTAGGCTCCAGTTTGTCCAAGGTTCTTGCCGCATGCGCTTTGACATGGAAATTCCTCTGTTGCTTTGTCGGCTTCTATGTCGTGGACCGACTCGGACGCCGGGCTGCCTTTATGATCAGTGGTGGTGGCATGTCCATGTGCATGCTGGCGCTGACCGTGTCCAACTCATTCTCAAACAACCATACTGCGTCTATTATCTCGGCTCTGTTTATCTTCGTGTACAATTTCTTCCTTCCGGTGGGATTCTTGGGGGCGAACTTCGTTTACCCGGCTGAGGTTGCCCCGGTTCGTCTGCGAGTCGCCATGCATTCGTTTTCAATAGCGAATCAGTGGCTATGGTAAGCATGATTTCTCTATTACTGTGAGAATTAGAGTACTAATCTGGTTCACCGGACTAGGATGTTTGTCGTTGCGATGATTACTCCTACCGCGATCGCCGACATTGGCTACCGCTACTACATCGTATTCACCGTCGTTGGCGGTCTCATCCCACCTGTAGTTTATCTCTTCTACCCGGAGACCATGAATCGATCCCTTGAAGAAGTTAATCAGATCTTCCACGATGCGCCATCTATTATGTCCGCCGTCAAGATGTCCAGAACCCTTCCTATTGGTGATAGCATCATGGAGGAGATTGAAGGAAAGAAAATGGCTGAAGAGATTGAATGAGACATTTCAAGTGTTCTGGTTGATGTGCAGCAGGGCATTACTAAAGAACTCGAGCATTTAGGATAGAAGAGGTGGCAGAGGGTTCTGAAGTTATGCTTTTCTTCTATTTTCTTATTGACTTTACTCTAAACACTGTTTTCTGCAAGATTTGGGCACCGTCCCAACATTTCCAACCCCAGTACGTACCCAATATCAGGCTTGCTTCTGCGCTATAGATTCGATCATTTCCTTGGCCCTATATTCATTAGCGAGAGACATTCTGCTCAGGCGGGTTGGGCTTACACGTCTCCAAGCGCCACCATGCATACGGTCTGCCAGATTCCTAGACCAATGCGTGGCGTGACCCCGCGGTACAGGCCCCGTATCCCACTTTGCCCATATATGTACCGGAAGGTGCTCCCAATACTCAGCTTTGTGGGGCGATTGGGATCGGCTTTTAGGCTCTGCATTTCCACTCGAATCACCTCGATGGGCTGATTCCAGCTAGCCAGAGCGCCTCCGACGCCCGAGGCCAGTATCTTCTCCACGACACCCAGTCGCTCCTCGCGCCCTTTGTCTGTGGCTCTACGGATTGCGTCCTCAACCAGTCGGGAGAAGCCAAACCGGGACCCCCAATTAGTGACTTGCCGAATTGCTACGGCATTGACTCCTTTGTTGATTCCTCGCAGTCCCTCCGTCCGAAACATCGTAACAAATGTCTCCAAGGCGCCCGGTGGTTTCAACCCCGCTGCCGCTTGCTTAAGTCGAGTAATTTCCGCTGTCTTCATGCAGGTACAGAACCCGACCGTTGCGTACGCCTGAGCCGCGCCACCGACCATACCTCCTGCGATGCCGGAAAGGAATTCGGAGGCCCCGGCCGTCCGCGAATGATACTCGACTTCGGAGGCCACAAAGAGCAGAACAGCGCCTTTAGTAGACGCTTCAATCCAGGCCCATGGGATTAGACCTTGGTAATCTACTCAGTTTATCGGCGGGGTCAGTGGTTCGAACGCTCATATATCGTCATCGGTCAGGGCGGCATACAACCGGCAATTCCTCCTCGCGACCAAACGCGTCTCAGGGCTGTGATGAATGAATCCGATCTATTGGCTGCCATTGTGGTCTTTATTACCTCTAGTGGCTAGCTCTCGTTAGACGCACGTCTGGTGAAGGGAGTAAGCCGACATAGACTAACCTGTCCAAGTGTGGTGACCCTTGAATGGAATCAATACGAGATCAACAAACTGCAGAACAAGTGAAAGCGTACTCAAACATATTCAAGCTAGCACCAACTGGATTGCACAAATAGTTAGAAGGCGCGGCAAAGAGCAATAGATGAGATGGGGCTGGGTCAGTTACGCAAAAGATTACTCGCTCCAACGTCCCTCTTCTTGATCCCAGCATGGGGGGCAGACTGGTCGAGAGGAGACATATTTGTTAGACCGATAAGGCACCACAGTACGATCAACAATGGGGTAAAGGCAAGGCTGTCTCCTTCTCTACGTCTACAATATCATGCCCCTATATGTGTGTTTTGTTCGTAGAACGTTACGCCGATACTACTTCCCCATTCCGCCGATTTTCGGAGCGATAGCTATGTCAATCTCTGCTCCTACACAGAGCTTGCTAGTCTGGATCTATTGGGCAAGAGACTAGTGCTCTAACTTCTATCCACTACAAACTAGATTCCCCGACAATCGGACGTCGGTGTTGGCGAAAACTCCAATGGCATTGCTCGAAGCTACCGATGTATATATTTCAACCGTGTGGATAAACTGCGGGTGGGTAAGCTGCCAAGGAATCACTACACGCACAGCATATTAATACAGCTAATGTGATAGGGAGCTGGGATGATCGGTGGATGATCCTCAAAAAAGAAAAAAACAGAGACCATTTTATTCCCCGCGTGCCAATGGGCCCATGAGCTAACACATGGCTCCTACGGACTGTTGGTCACTTTGAGACCTCTAGGGAAACACACTAATGGTACGAGGGACGCCGGACGCCACACCGACCTCTCGGATATGATATCCTGCAGGTGCATCGGGCTTTCCCGCCGTGACCTTGCTGCGTATACGTTCGAGAGGCTCAGCATTATACACAGTCCACGATGGCAAAATGTCAGGCCATGATTACATCATGACGACAAGCGATCGGAAGCCCTGACTCCACGTGACCCATGGGTTCTGGACCAGTCTCATTGGCCGGGAGGATTCCCACGTGACCGTGGCGCTCTCCGATGCGATTCATTCCACCGAGTGGCAGCCACCACCCTTAAGACCGGAAAAGTCCTCCTTTTTCCTCCTCCCATGTCCTAGCGCCCCCCGTTCAATCAGCCTTGCCTACCTTATGGCGTCATCGCACTAAAGACCCTTATTTCGGGCAATTCCCGGCTCTATGGGCTCTACAACGATACGGGACTGACTATCAATGGATGACTATCATCCTCTCTGTTCTTACGGTCGAGTACTACGAACACCAGTATGTTGAGTGATCCCACCGACGGTGGGCTCTCGAACCTGGGCGCGTCTAGTACAGAACCATCTTCCGACGCAATCCAGACCTCTCGCGTGGTTAACTCTAAGATCCGGATTCCGCGCTTAGGGACCGCCCCCGTCGCCGCTCACCGCCAACGCACCGGCCGGGCATGTGCTCTCTGTCATCAGAGGAAGACCAAATGTGACGGCCAAAAGCCTCAATGTAAACAATGCCGTCAATTGGGTTTCCCATGTACTTATGTGGGGTCAAAGAGAGAACGACAAAAGTGGGCCCTGGAATCCGTCCAAGCGAAGATCCAGTCTTATGAGTCCCTGTTGCAACGTATCATTACGGAGAGCAGCGAGGATCCATCCAAGTTCAAGCTGATTGAAGAACTGATCACGGTATGTATGTCCGCCTGTCAGGCATACGGCAGAGTTGTTGGGCGTTAGGGAACTATGCTTATACTCATCTAGAGACACTTTGAGGGGGCACCGACGATACTTACACCACTACTAGCGCTAGGGTCCCCTTCAGACCGAAGCCCGTTCCCGTCCAACCATGGCCTATCATTGTACCGAATGCTTGCCGCGTGGATGTCCCATGCCCGCAGTGAGACCCAGCCACTTGCGCAGAAGCCAGTCATCCAGATCACCGGGATTCATCGTTGGACCTTGCTGGCGAACAATGACACGGCGAGCCATCTATTGTCACTTTACTTTATGTGGGAGAATCCGACCTGGCAACTGATTGACAAGGATTTATTTGTCCGCGACCTCGAAAGTGGACACGGAAAGTTCTGTTCCGCATTATTGGTTACCGTATTACTCTTTTTTGGCTGTGTACGTGTGGCCAAAGACCGGAGTGGAGTGACAGCTAACGTGAAGGCCAGAGCCTATCATACAATCTAGATAGGATCACAGATCGACGAGAAGAAAAGTTGCTTAGCAAGAAATTATATGCCGAAATACAGCGTCTATGGGAGATCGAAAAACGTATCGAGAGTCTTGCCACTGCTCAGTCCAGCATCCTGATTGGGTTGCTCTGTTGCACGTTCGGCTTAGACAGATTCGGCACCCAGTATATAATGCATGGCGCTCAACTATGCCTAAATCTAGGTCTTCAGCATGAGCATCCCTCATACTTTTATGACGACGCACCGGACGAAGATGGACAGCTCGCCAAGTGTCATAAGTTAGTTTCCTGGGCAGTGTATGATGTTCAAGGGTGAGAACGCACATGCCAGCTTTGAACTGTTTCTTACTAACTTTCCCACACAGCATTGCTTCTCAAGTTTACAGAAAGGTACCAGCCTGGAAAGAGCCCCCGTCCGTGAAATTCTCCCCAGTTGAAGCGGCAGGATTAGATGCAGGTGTTGAATGGAGTCCCTATCCGTTCATCACTCCTATTTCCCAGCCATTCTTCTTCACGGCGGCGTGCTTCAGGTCTGACCTCGTTACTATAGTTCATCACATTGCCGAATTTGCCCTCCGGTTTCCAGATGCGGTCATGGGCAATGATGATTGGGAGTACGGCCACCAATTACATAAAAAACTGCTCCAATGGAAGGCTACCCTGCCTCCTGTTCTTCTACTTGAACAAAATACAACACCGCATGTTATCTGCTTACAGTGGGTCATCTCTTTACACCTCGTTGCGGTTCAGGTGACTGACAGTTATTGTAGTGAATATTACCATGCAACGATTGCATCTCTGTGCCAAGTCTTCTGCGCAAACTTGGGCTCGACAGATGGCCAGATTCCGAATCCAGAAGAGTTTGATCCGTACACAATAGTATCGCAAGCGTTGGATGCCATAGGCTCCTTGATATTGCTATTCAAACGCTGTCACGGGTGGAAGTCTCTACCGGTCGTCATGCTGCACTATTTCTGTGTCGCAGGGGTTCATTCAGTCTCAAAATTAAATGCCCATGAGCCAAAGTGGAGATATGTTCTAGAGGATTGCGTGGTGGGCCTCTGGCACATGAGTTTAGGGTGGGGCCGATTATGCACCGCATTCCTTCGAACGATCGAACTGGTCCTGAAGCAAAGCAATCCGGACCCGTCTCTCGTGCCTTCTAGGGTTGCCGAGATCCTCAGGCAACTAAACGAGGGCGATCTGTGGACGGTGACAGACATCTCATCCCTGGCGGCCGACTATGTAGTTCACCAAGTGGCCACTCAACCGGAGTCGAGTTCGAGCCCGTGGTCTGCTTACCGGTCCCAAGGACTGCAGAGTCTCATCCATGACATGGATAGCCTTTCCATTAATCTAAGCTCTGAATCCCCGGAGTCCCTCTCATCCGTCAAGGGGCCCTATGACTCTCGCAGTTCCAAAGCCCCTGACATGCGAGATGCCGAAGAGATTATAGATAGTTAACATTTTATGCTGCTGACAATATCTGGGACTAAGACGCTACATCAGGGAAAGGGTGCTTTCCGTCTATCACTATGCTTGTTCTTAGCCACAATGTACACGTGGTGTGACGGATGTCATGGGGGTGCCGTTTGAAGGGTGCCGTAATATCAGCGTCAAGCCACTATTAAGGGAGGTTTCTTCGAGCTACAGCTACCTCTAAGGCTCCGCAGTCACCTGTACTTATCGAGACATCTCGCTATTACTGACGGGGGAAGATCTTCACGAACGCTAATACCCGCCTCCTATACATCTGAATAGTGTACGGAATTCATCTAAATCGCTGCAAAACGGCTCAAACACGCCGTAATACAGGCAGGCGATCTCACAAGAATTCTCAGCCTTTTTCTCTTTTACATACACGTGGCTTCCTACCTTTATGAAGGGTTGTGAGATTGTCCGCGCAGGCGCACAATAATTCTGTCATCAGACGGCGTTCCTTCATTATCGATCCAAGGGTTACAATGTCTTTAGATGGCAGTCAGCCTGCCAAGTATTCCGCTGCATCGCGAACCAGCTGAGTCACTTATAATGGTGTTCTGATTTGAATCATTCCTTGACCTTCCGGTGCCTTTTCAATAGTTTTGTAAGGACGGCATTAAAGTACACGAAGATGTTATTCTGCGTTGTTATTACATTTAAAACTACTTGTTTATACACAATTATACCAAGTGATTGAGACCATAAAACCTTGACAGCACTGGGTCTCATAAACCCTACCACCCCAGTCCAAGCTCAGTCAGTCCTTAGACGGTTGTGCAACAGATCTGAATGAGCCGCAAATCGTATAGACAGCCCGTCTCCCCCAGGAGCGCTTCTTCTCGTCGCCAAAGATACTCACATCTTCTTCCCTCACGATCTCCGTCTCGCCAATTCCTCTCCGCCGCCTCCAATTCATCTCTGTATTCGTAACATACCCCTCCCTGTACAACCGTCCGTAGAACTCCTTTGACTCTTTTGTCGGCCTCCAGCGGAGAATATCATAAGAACTAGCCCTCGTCATCGCTGCATCACGGTCCCGAGTTGTCATGTTCGGACTGCCATCGACAACATGTACATTAACTGCACGGGAGCGGAATTCATCGCCCATCAAAATATTCTCAGTGGGAGTGACGAAGACCGTGATATGTGATGGAGGGATAGGATACGCAAGGAGATAATCTAAAGCGGCTCTATCCACGCCAGCGACGGGACCGATCACGAAGCGATGTCCACGATCGATAGCCGCGTTGATTAGGGGTACGTAGTGGGTGTGGAAGTAGGTATTATCTGGGCCTGTATCGAGAGGGCCAGAGATAAATGCTATCTCCGCTTTTTCGGGGATTGGTGGAGGGGATGTCATTTTTCTGTATTATTTGGGGAACTGCGGTGTTTGCTGGGAATGGTGCTGGTGCTGGTGCTGGTTTATATAGGGTTGGATGGTGTCAGCCTTATGGGGCTGTGCACCTGGAGTGGGGAATCATGTTGGGCGATTAATTTAGTGTTGGCCAATGACTCAATAGTAGTAAAGGCAGGTTCGAATGCTTATATTTTTGGTGAGATATGTGATATGTGGCTTGTAGGTGATCTGTAACAAAAGTTAGACTTTGCTGGGTGGTGTAGAATTCGCAATATTCTTCCACCAATATTGGCTAGCCGATTCAGAGCATGGCTCAAGTAAACAATGTGATTGCAACCGTGGGCTCGTCAATATAAGAACAATATTGATTCTCAAGGAGATACACCATGCTGTGCTAGGTATGTTACCAGAATGCATTCATCATGGTGCATTTACTGCCTGACGCTGGTTCACATAAGGTGTTGGTCCATGCGTAACCTCGTATGAAGTTTAGATACCCACAACGGCACTGCCATTGGCAAAAGGGGAAAAAAAAAACGATCGACAAGGCAGGATGGGGCAGTATACCTGTACTAGCATAGGCCTTCGCGTACTCGGCACATATTCCGGTGCTGATGAGATGCTGCCATCGGATGTCGCGATGGCGTGCTTTTAGTCTCGCATTAGATTGATAACAACAACAATACATAAGCCATGATCTCTCTCGCATTGTTCGCTAATGTCTACTGCCACGTGGCTACCATGAGGATATTGACTGCTAACTTACTTCTGGCTGCCTCAGGGCTGGCCCTGGCTCAAGCGCCTCTTCGGCTCCAGGATGGAAGCACTGGGAGTATCCCGGACATCATGCGCCAACATGGCACACACGGACGCCCGAACATTGTTTTTATTTTAGTGGACGATCAAGACCTGCAGATGGACTCATTAGCCTACACGCCGCATACGAACCACTACATCAGAGACCAGGGGGTCTTCTATAAGAATCATTTTGTCACAACAGCGCTGTGCTGTCCGTCCCGTGTGAGCCTGTGGACCGGAAAACAGGCGCATAATACTAACGTCACGGAAATCTATCCACCATATGGTATGTTTCATAAGCACAATGAAGACAATCCCTACACTTACACATTCCTTCAGGGGGATATCCGAAATTCGTTTCGGAAGGCCATAACGAAAACTGGCTGCCGTTGTGGCTTCAAGACGCCGGCTACAACACCTACTACAGCGGCAAGCTCTTCAACGCGCACACGGTCGAAAACTACAATTTACCCTTCGCCAAAGGCTTCAATACCTCCGACTTTGTTCTGGATCCATACACCTATCAATACCTCAATCCAGTATATCAACGAAATCATGGCCCGCCCATTTCCTACGCTGGACAGCACACCATCGACGTGCTCAAGAAGAAAGCACTCGGGTTACTCGACGACGCTGTCGCTGAGAGCCACGAAAGGCCTTTCTTTCTTACTATTGCGCCAATCGCGCCGCATTCCAACTTTGAAATGACCAATGCGAGCGACTACACGACGTTTCGCTTCTCGGCGCCGATCCCGTTGGAACGGCACAAGGATCTGTTTCCCGACGCGAAGGTGCCGCGAACAGAGCATTTTAATCCTGATACGGTAGGTCTTTCTGTCCGCGGTGTGGTCACAATAAACTTAGCTCAAGGATTAATCGTGAAAACAGCCCAGCGGAGTCAACTGGATCAGCACTCTCCCCCAGCAAAACCAGAGCAGTATCGATTCGAACGACGAGTTCTATCGCGCCCGTCTACGCGCGCTTCAAGGGGTTGATGAGATCGTCGAACAGGTTGTCCAGCGTCTAGAAGATGCAGATGTCCTCGATAATACATATATCTTCTATACATCTGATAATGGCTACCACATCGGCCAGCACCGATTGCACCCCGGCAAGGAATGCGGCTTTGAGGAGGACATTCGCGTGCCGATGTTCATTCGAGGGCCTGGTATCCCCCTTGGCGAGGAGGTGGACTTCGTGACTACCCATATCGATTTAGCACCCACTATCTTTGAGATAGCTGGATTGGATCTCAAGGAAGAATTCGATGGCACTCCCATCCCGTTGACAGCAAGGGAAGTCGAAGAGGAGAAATCATCGAAGAGTCGACACGAGCATGTCAACGTCGAATACTGGGGCAAAGCAGGATTTGAAGGCGAGCTGAGCCGGGCGCGTAAGTCACTTATATCCTTGTTTTCTACTTGTTGGTTTGCTGATGTTTGGCCCCCAGCGGATGGAGGACCGATTGCTTTCCGAAACAATACATACAAGGCTCTCCGAGTTTTAGGACAAGGTTATAATCTCTACTACTCCGTATGGTGTACGAACGAGCATGAACTGTATGATCTCACGGTGAGTATCCTTCATTGACGTCTATTCTGCGAGGTTATATCACTCATTGAACGACAGACTGACCCCTACGAACTTAATAATCTTCATCCGTCTGTTTCCGGTGACGGCGAGCAGCAATTGCTGGGGCACCCCATTGTGAAGGTGATCTCCCGCTTAGACGCCCTGCTGCTCGTTCTGAAGTCCTGTAAGGGAGCCACCTGTGTGAGACCATGGGAGGTGCTTCACCCCGCCGGTGACGTCCAAACCCTGAGTGATGCTCTGGGTGATGTCTTTGACGTGTTCTATGATGAGCAGGTTAAGGTCGAGTACGGATGGTGTGAGGAGGGTTATATCGTGGATGCCGAAGGGCCGCAAGTTCCCTCTATATATCAGGGGACACGGTGGAGTGATTGGTGGTGAGAGGTTCTCTGTGCTCCTTTTACAGGCTTGAGCTACAAAAGCATAGATTCGGTGGTAGTTGTAAAGCATAGATTGTATATATATGGAAATGCAACAATATGCCGTTTCAGCTGGCTGGTTGAACAGATGGCCATATAAGAACTGCATGTCCCAGGGTAATACATAGACAATACCAAGGACAGGCTCATTTTAGATGGTAACAAAGACCTTCCTTGAATGCCAACCAGCCTGCACAACATCGTACATGTTGTAGTTGCCCTTACTGGAGTATACATTATCACTATAGCAATAGGGGTGTGAAACCTTGCCATTCTTTACTGAATCAATTACAAATATCTGTAACTAATATATTCAAATGGACACAAGTTATAATACAGTGAAGAGTATAAACGGTCACCCACTATATCTTAATGGGGGTCCAACCAAGCGGACGACTGGATGACACCCGGTATAACCGTTTAGAGGAAAGCACGAGCAGCGAGGGCAACAACACCGGTAAGGAGCGCGCCGAAGTGAAGCTGGTTGTTCGAAGCAGCACCGGTGAACAGAGGGTTAAGACTGGAGGAGCTATATCAAGAATATTCGATCAGTATCGCATTCAATCAGCTTCCAAAGCTGCAGATGTCCTTAGGTGCACTCACGTCAGGTTGCCCGAGAAGTGGCCAGAGGAGGTGGCGGCAGGCACAGGGGACATGTAGGTGGAGCTGCCGGACACAACAGTCACGCTGGGGCAACTTCCAGGGTGCGCTGGGTTGCAGCCACCAGGGATTCCAGCAACGCTGCTGAAGCCAGATGGGGTCACAGCGGGCACGGGGGAGAGTAGGTCGAGCTACCAGTCACCACAGTCACGCTGGGGCAGCTGCCGGGGTGGGCGGGGTTACAGCCACCAGGGATTTCAG